ATATACATTAATTATTTCTATCCATGCCACCTCACCTACCACATCCTATCATCCTACTACACCACCTTCCCTCCACCTCTCCACCGGAGACGGCAATCAGTTTTGGCGATCACTCCGACAACCTTTCCGGCGATCACTTCGGCGACCGCTCTGACCATCGCTCCGGCAACTGTTCCAGCGATCACTTCGTCGGCAGCTTAGAAGACTGTTGTGGCAGTCGCTCTGGTAACTTAAAGATTTCCAGAAAATTAAAAATTGAAAATCGCATCCCCACCTCCATGGATCCACCTACCACTACCCCATCCCTGCCTCCACCTCCTAAAAAATTATAGGAAAACAAATTTGTGTTCAGCGTGACTGTCTGTGACTAATTGTGACCAAGTTTGTATTCAATTTAACTAACTGCGACCAAATTTGTGTTCAGCGTGACTGTCTGTGACCAATTGAATCTTAATTTAAGTCACAATCAGTCACAATCAACACAAAATTGGTCACAAGCAGGCACAATCGGTCCCAATTAACACAAAATTGGTCACAACCAGTCACAGTACACACATATTTGGCCACAAACTAGCACCACAATCCACAACCAGTCATCCCCACCATCACCTCAAATGCACCACCACTATCTCCTCCAACTTAAATTCATGACAGTGAATTCCGAACTAATGTTGAACTAAAACTCTTCTCTGTACCACCACTACCACCTTCAACTAAAAACTACGAGAACAGATTTACCTTCACCTCACAAGAAGCATATACTTGGTCACACCTGTTTGTTGTCACCGTCAAGAAATAAATGCACACCACCTCACCACGATCACCTGCACCACCATCAATAGAACCATCACCTTCTAAATAGCAGATCCACAACCATCCACATCACAAACCATCCTCGACAGATCCCCAACCTACCACTACACACAATACACATCACATCACTAGCACCACCTCACCATGACCTACCACTCTATACACCACTACTAGGAGCAACGTCAACCTACCTGCACACACAACGACTAGGTTTCAATATTTTTTGAAAAAGATCAGAACAGTATCTTCGTGAAACAACATCGATCTGAAGAAAATCGGAAAAACTTAATTAAGGGAGGAATTAGAATTAGATATGTATCGCATCGTCAAGTGAAGTAGGACTTGGGGAGATGGAATAAGCACTAGGTTCGAGGGCTTCGGTTGGAGGTGTGGGTTGGCTCATCAGCTTTGGAGTCGGAGCAGGTGAAGGTGAAGTGTGCTTTTTGCTCTTCTTCTTGTTGTGAGCCGGAGCTTTAGCTGGGGTCTCACTCGGGGGCGCAGAAGTTGGAGCTGGTGGTGTTGCCCCCTCGGGAGCCGGAGATGGTGGAGATTGGACTGGAGCAGCCGCTGATGGTGAGTTGACTGGCTCTATAGCAGGAGGTTCACCGATGGTAGTGGGGATGGGGATGGGAATGGGGGTGGGGGGGTTTGGGTTGCAGGCGGCGATAATTGGGGAGAGGGAGAAGAGAGGGAAGAGGGGGGAGAGAGAGAAATGAATTGGGGGTGTCGGATTTAATCAACTGATTTTTGTAAAAAATTCTTAATCACCTGATTTTTTATAATTAAATCTTAAACCCCTAGTTTTAGACCTTGTTAGAGAGGAATTAAAATCGGATTAAAATTAAAAAATTAATCGTTATTGTTGACTTTTATTAAAAGAGTGAGACCCAATAACGACTATATTTTCAATTTTAATTGGATTAAAATCCCCCCGCACTCCCTTTGCGAATGTCTTATCTTAGGCGCAAAATAAGCCACATTTATTATCTACCCGTCACTACAGTCACTCGCCACGTGTCCTCTCCCTTAAACAACTCTTTTGTTAGCATTACTCTAATAAAAAGTACAAAACCAGATCCTTCTCTATTATATTACACACGCCGACTCCGCGAAGTTTTCATTTCCGTTGCTTTAGAAAATACGCAGATCATGTCACGTTTGATTCATAATTCGAAATTCTTCGTCTCCAGATTCTCGTAAGTGCTTAAATTTAGTGCCCTTATTTTTTTTAAATTTCTTTATCCCTGAATTTTTATTTGTTAAGTCGGATTGGGTGAAGGCCGGTATAGCTCTGAAGAAAGAAAGATTAAAATGAAATAAATGGCTTAATGGGAAATGAATATAAGGGACTGGGAATTTTATGGTAATAATAGTTTCTAGTAAATATATTGTCAAGTGTCCTAACTTTATTTTGTGAATCAAAATGTGAACGTGGGATGTTACTTTTTTAATCTGTGTATTAATTACTGCATTTTTTAAACCACATTGAGAAGAATGATAGTCCCTGGAAATTGATTTTGATCTTGTTGGTGTTTGTGTAATGGGATGTACAAGCAAAATTATGAGACATTGTTGTGCATCGTGCTGTATATGTTGTACTTTGTCAATGCATGTGTGATTTTAAGCTTATGGATGACTTCTTATACTGAAATGAAATAAATGTCTTTTTGCAGTGTCAAATATTAAAGTAAGAACAGAAGTTGAGAGGTGGAATATATGATTTCTGATTTCCAAGAAATAAAATAGAATGTAGCATTACTTACTCAAGAGCCAAGAGATTTGAGTTTTGTTCATGTAATCTTGTTACATGTTTTTAACACAACCAGATACCCTTAAAAAAGGAAAAAATATCAGAAAATTTAGATAGCTTTTTGATTAAAGGATAATTGAGCACTATCTAGCAACCCCTACCCCACCTCCTCTGGCAATACCCACCCCGAAAAAAAAAATTTGTAATAATAGGAAATGACGAGTAAAAATTCATTCCTAGAATCCTTGGGGGTTGATAAAATACTGTTTGAGTTGCTGTTTGTTCTCCTTGCTTAAGAGATTTGAGTCTTCAGTAATTAAAAAGATAAGAAGTATTATAAAGGTTTGCCATGCTTAGTTGCGTTTGAGAGAAAGATGCCAGCAATGTGAATTAGTTTATCAAAGCTGTATCCACTTGTGGGTGTCTGTAATCAGTCTTCTCAACTGATGAAATTCATGGTTACATTGGAAAAAAAATAAAATTGGGAAGGTGTATAGATGTATTTCATGTGGAACATTGGTAAAATTGATTGAAAAATTTATCAACTATTAGCTATCCATTTTTTAGAAAAAAAGTAATTAACTGTAAATTCTTCCTGTGACTTGAGCTGCTTTCACAAGCTAACCCAGTGAGGACATTGGAATCATTTATTTCTTATCATCTTTGAAGGCCGTTTATACATTGTAATTGGTATTTATAGTTCATCGGTTCATCTTACTGTGGATGTATGAAATCCATATTAGTTCCGTGAGAAGTTTGATGAAGAGATAAGTATTCAAATTGATATATTGTTCCTTTCATCTGCCGATAAAGTTAAATAATAACTTGGTGGGTATCACATTAAGTGCATGTTTGCAAAGCTTAAATTTTTTAATCTTGTCAAACTTACTTTATATACTCATTTCATATATCCACAACTTATTTTACATATTATTCACGCATTTCGTAAGATTCACAACTTGCAAGCACTTAAAAAAAAATAAATTAGGCATTGCCAATCATGCACTAAAACTTCCATATCTATTTGGCTTGGTAGCAGATTGTTGAATCTCACAACATTTTCATTGATATAGTGCTGCTGAAGAACTAGAAAAAATATTTCTATCTTACAAGAGGCCTAAGTTTGCACGAGGAATGAACTGCTCAGATGAGATGCATGCTCTTGACAAATGGAGATTGACTTCTCAATTACGTTAAATGATCCCAAACATTTAAAACAAATGAAATACTAGAGGACTAGAGAACAAAATTTAGCATTACTTAGTGGTTTGAGTGATTACATATCAGGCAAAGTTTTGACAACGGGAATAATGATAATTTGTCAGAGGAATGTATTCTTAATGAAGACAACTTTTAACTCTTCAGAGCTCCTTGAAAAGGAAATAACAAAAGAAAAGTCCTGGCAAGGAACACATGTGAACTCTTAATTCAATGAGGTAACTAATAGTGTTAATGCCAATATCATTACTCCCTGAATGATAAGGGACAAGTGGAAGAAATGAAATCTTGAAAGTCTTGTGCTGTTTTATACTTGGATACTGAGGAAGCACTAGGTTTCTGAAATGTTATTCACTTAGAAACAAATTGATGTGGGATGCAGTAAAATAATTATAGGAGAAGGATAAAGGGGAGAGGAAGAGAAAGGCAGGGGAAAAGAGAAGAATAGGGAGGAGATAAAAGGAGGGAGATGGGAAGGGGAGAAGAATTAGACACACGGAAGCAGGAATTCAAGAGAGAAAATGTCTTTATTTCATTATCAAAGTGATATGAATTACATTGCATAAGCCCCATCAGTCCTAATTGAAATTGGAAAATACTATAAAATTTATGAAATCAAACCCTACTTAAGTTTTCTACAATAAGCATCAAAATTGAAAATTAAATTAAATAATATCTCTTCTAATATGCCATCACTAGTGGTTTGGCCAGTTGAGTTATTCTTGGTCATGTTGAAAGGAATGACACTTTTGGATATCCATTGAGGAATCTAGATGGTGCCAAGTTGGAAGCTGAAAGTACTGGACAGATATTGTTGACCAGTGTTGCAGCATGCATCAAATCAAGACCGAGAAATATAAATTATGAATTAAATTGTGGGTATTATTGAATAGACTGGTTTTTGGTTCTTATCACCTTGAGATGCTTCAATCATGTTACTTCTTTTAATTTTATTTTATTTTACTCCTCCTCCTTTTCCCCTATTCGATTGTATCCTGTTCCTGGTATGCTTTTCTGTATCATTTTAGCTTATTCTTTCTTATTGAAACAGAAATATAGCCGCCTCAAGAAATGGACGCTTTTTATCTAGTGATTCTAACAAAACTACCGATTGTAAAGATTCTAATAAAGTCGATGAAACCTTTAAGGTTGAGGAAGCAGAGACAGTGCATGCCCCCCCACCTCCAACAGAGAAGGTATTCTGTAACTGTAGCATAAATTACGTTTGTAATTTTCTATTTGTCCTCAGACTGGTAACTAGTATTTCTTATGCTTCTAATTCAGTTACTTATCCTTGGGGGAAATGGATTTGTCGGTTCACATGTTTGCAAGGAAGCTATAGATCGTGGTTTAGCTGTTGCTAGTCTCGGCAGGTATTTGTCTCTTTGTTCAAGTTATCTGATTTCCCTTTTTATAATTATATAATCCAACTGCAGATAGTCTGATGAATCCGTCAACTTGGTTTTTATGAAGCACTATCAAATTCTTCTGGCTATCTGATTGCTCATTTATGTTTTGGAGATAACCTTTTCACTGAATGTCTCCCTTTTGCTATGGCTCAAGGGGTGAGTAGATGCAATTTTTTTTGGGGGCATTAACATGAGGAAATATTCCAGTTACTGAAGAATATATTTTCAAAACCATGATCCATGAGGTCATTGTATTATTCAAGGACACGTGTTGGGTAAAACACTAATGAACCTGTATGGCTGTTGCCTTATCTTCTCTATTTAGTGACATATAACTATACCAATGAATAAAGTAGTTTCCTTCTTCTTATTCTGCACCCATATATGGGTACCAACTACGAAGTTTTAACAAGTGGGACATAATTATCTTGTTCCAAAGAGGATAGGTATAATTTGCAATCTAGAACATATGGGTGCGTTTGGTTTGCCGATTTCAAACTGTTTTCAGTTTTTCAACACACTGAAAATGTGTTTGGTCTGGTATTTCTAAAAATGTATTTCTGAAAACAATGTTAAACTTATAGCATAAAACTCAAAAAGTATTTTTGACGTTTTGAGCGTTTTCAATGAAATTCTGAGAGCACTCAAAACATGGAAAACAACCGTTTAAATAAAATTTTAATAAATAAAATTGAGAAATTTAAAAAATAAAAGAAATAAAATTTTTGAAAAAATTAAATCTAAAATTCTAATAAAAGTAAAATGAAAAAAAATAAAAATAAAATTCTAAAAAAAACTCTAAAAATTTCTAGAAAAATAAAAATTGTTAAAAAATAAAAAGTAAAAATAGTCCATACTCTTAATGATTACTTACATAAAAATTCTAAAAAAATATTTACATTTATTTTTATTTCCTATATTTTGAACTCAATTTCTTGTTTGTTTTTATTTTACTTTTGTAGTGAAACAAAATATTGTAGATTCACCAACTTTAAAATGTATATATTATTTGATAATATATTAACAGGAAGATGTTTTATTTTTGCTGAATAATGAAATTTCATGGAATGCAATATCATGAAATAATTTTTCAAAATTTCATACCAAACGTGTCTTATAATTTTCTGTTTTGAGAAATAATTTTTCAAAATGATAAATCAAAAGCGTTTTTAGCAATTTTAAAACAGATTCTTAGAAAATGAACTCAAAACTCATAATTGAAACTAAAACAAAGAGCAAACGGGCTCTAAGTTTCCTGCTACAAGGGATAGAATACTGTATGTTAACTGACTTTTTTGGTTTGTATGTATCAGTATTTCCAGTAGTAATTATATTGTAATTCAATGTCTGTGGATTGTTTGTTGCCTCTGGCTGTTAGCTGTGCTGTGTGAATATGTTTTGCTTCCATTTTGATGCTCAAGAACTGGTTTTTGCCTTTTGTAGATCAGGTAGGTCATCCATACAAGAACCTTGGGCTAACAGTGTGTCTTGGCATCAAGGTCTGCTAGTTGCAGAGCTGTGTTATTTTGTTCTTTTATGATACGAGATGACTGAAACCTGTAATCATTTCAATTTCCTTTTTTCTCTTTCAGGAGATCTTCTTTCAACTGACTCGTGGAAGGATTCACTGAAGGGAGTAACTTCAGTTGTGTGTATCACCTGGCCTTTCAACTCATACTAAATTGCTAACAAAGAATGGATGACATTGGTTTTTTATCACAGTTATTTCATATTTGATAACACAAAAGTTATAGCCACTGTTTGGTAGAGCCTGGGATAGGAGGGCATTAGATTTCTCACTGCACTGCTTAAGTTTAAAAAAATTGAAGAAGTTTAAGAGTATGCTTCATGTTCATTTACTCATAGATGGAACTAGGATAATCATAATAGAGAATTATGTTTTTCGAAAGAGTGATAGTTTTAAGTATTCATGTTCAATTATTAATAGGAAAGGAAATCGTGAAGGGGGATGTAATGCTATGATGCTAGCGTGTCAAAGTAGAGAAGTACTATTGGGATACCATGTGATCGTAGAGTCCCATCGAGTTAAAATGAAAGTTCTACAGAATCATTATTAGACGAGCTATACATGATTGAATATTGGGCTGCAAAAGGACAAAATATTAATAATGGTGAACATAGTGGCAAGAAAGATACCTGTGCTGGGACCCCTAGTTTATTGAAGTCTGAAGATAAAGCTTCGTGGAGATAGAGCTTAGCTTCTTGTTGTTCTACATTTTTCGGGATGGGGTGGGAGTGCAGTTGATTGTTAGCTGCTTAAGTTTTGCAATGTGTGGGCAAGTTGAAATCATGTATATATGGAATAAGAAAGAAAAAATTTGACTGCGTGCAGATGTCAAACTGGGTTTGTGTCTGGTTCGCCAAAAATATACTGTTGTTCGAGTATGAAGCAACAAACATGAGCAGTTGTGTTTGAACAGAAGAGACCAAGTACATGTAGTTTGCGAGTCATCTTTTATTGTGATATAGCCTCGGGATGTACAATCATCCACCAGTCAAATGAACTTCACTATTGTACAGCACTGTTGAAGAGAGAAATATATCCATGGTCAAACCAATTACAAGCGGATTTTGAATAACACTGCAATAGTTTCACTAATTAGTTACGAGTCTTATGACATCATAAAGTGATAATCAATCATTGTAAGGAAAATAAGTGCCTCCAATTGTATTCTTATGCGGATTTTCATGTTAGTGAATTTAGTGGCCAACAATATACTATATTTACGTATCAGCCTACTTCTGGTGTGGGGTATCTTATCATGACCGTTGAATTTTGATTCAATGCTTGAGATTAAAAGTAATCACCCAAGGTTATGGTGGAAGTATCCAGCATTTTTATTCTTTCTTTCTCTCTCTAGCTCTAGTTACCTACCTACCTCCCTTCCTATCTAGTTCTCTTTTTATCTGTACACAGAGAGGGAGAGGGAGAGGGAGAAACACATGTTCACATGCACACATACACTGATGAATTTTTTCTATTTTTCCTTTTCCTTTTCCTTTTATTTTTGCATGCAAACGTATACAAACATTATTTTGGGTGCTTTATACTGTATAATATTTTTGGTTTACTGGAATGGGTTACATTAGACCCAAACATCTTCCTTTCTCCAAATCTTCCCGTGTGATGAGACTTGAAGTTGCAACATTTGTAGGATTGGTAAAATATTAATCACCAGGATAACCTGTGGCTTCAGAATTTTGTTTCTCCTTTTTTATGGTAATTTTATTTGTTACCTGATGATTAGTAGGCTGATAAATGTGTCAGTTCTTGTCCTTTTTTATGTAAGTTATCATTTTGTAACTGGTGCTAGTGTTGCTGTTGCAGATATCTTGTGTTGGTGGTTTTGGTTCCAATTCTTACATGTATAAAATCAACGGGACTGCAAATATCAATGCTATTAGAGCTGCTGCTGAAGAAGGTACTGACATTGATTAATTCTCTCTTTTTTTCCCCTGTATAATGACAGATCACTTGTCCTTGTTTTCTTTGTTGATTTTGAAAATATTTAATGAGCATCTGAAGGGCAAGTTAGATGTTAGAATTCACATGAAAATTTCCTTGGACGACTCCTCAAATTATTTCAAATAAAAAATTGTATCTGACCTTATCAACTTGTTTGAGATATTTTCTTTGTGGAAATTACAGTAGTATCCTCAGCAACACGTAGATAATTTGCACCATGGGGCTTCTTAACTTTGGCCTTGTACCACTGTACTTGTTTTATGTCCATTTTGGTGCTCCCTCAATTAGTAACAAGTTAAATGAAGGGAAAGTCAAGTACAGATTGTAATTTATAAGTGCAAACATGTTTGAAGCCCAAGTTTTTCTTTCACAGAAGTTGCAAATTACTTTAATTAATCCTCTTGCTGTTTAGATAGACAGTTTGAACCAGAAAAAATCTCACGAAATGGGCAGAAAAGTGGGTGGTTTTATTATTTGTACCTGCTAGGTTTTTTTTTTCCCGGTTTTGCTTTATTTCAGTAGAACTGCATCTCCCAATTCATTTATAAATGGAATTATTTTGAGATTTACATACAGTGATAGCATAATAATTTGGATTTTCTCCCTTGGTTTCTGCATTGCTTATTTGGAGAATTTATACGAATTTTCATTTATTTTGGATGTAGCTTCTCCATGATTCTAAAGCTGATATTGGTTTGCACTTTCAACAATTTTTTCCCTTGCTAAACTTTTTAATTTTCACCTACAGGAGTTAAGAGATTCGTGTACATCTCTGCTGCTGACTTTGGAGTGGTAAACTATTTGCTACAAGGATATTATGAAGGAAAGGTAATGTTGACATTATTACACCATTTAATACAAATAAATTATTGTTGGTTCAAAGTGATGGTCGAAGAAAACATTAGTATTTGATAACCCATGGCAAATAAAGAACTGGAAATGCATGCTTTATGCTTGATATCTATTTTGCTATATGTATTATGATGCAGAGAGCTGCTGAGACGGAGCTTTTGACAAGGTATACATATGGAGGTGAGGTTTTCTCCTATAGTAATCCCAGCAATCTTCATTTAGCAAATAACGTGTTGGTAGCTTGTTTACCTTCTCTTCATTTAAACTAGAAGGTTATATTTTGTCACAGTCATGAAAAATGGTAAGTTTTCCCCATTTTTCTTCCTCTTTGATGGTGTTATATAGTCTGTCTGTGACACTTCAATTGAGAAGTGAGGACCGAGGCACCTTCTTTTAACTACCTGATTTGCCGAATATATTGTTCAGATGATTGAACTCTTGGGCTTCATTTTATCTCTACTCCTAAAATCTCATATTTTGGCGCTCATTTAAAATTGAGGACTTACTGAAAATTGAACAGGATGTTTTTTGATCCTAACCAGAGTTCGTGCTGTTTCAGGAGTAATTCTGAGGCCGGGTTTTATATATGGAACTCGTCGTGTTGGCAGTATGAAGTTGCCTCTAGGTGTCATTGGTTCTCCAATGGAAGTGGTAAGATACATAGGCGTGCAGCAACTGTGACTAGATGAAGTATAATTCTACATTTGGCGACTTTGGCTAGTACTAAATAATTTAGTCAGATGAATTGCTTTCCAACTGAGGTATTTACTATATAATTTCTTCCTTATTTGCAGGTTCTCCAACATGCAAAACCACTGAGCCAGGTCCCCCTTGTCGGACCCCTTTTCACTCCTCCTGTTAATGTTACAGCAGTTGCAAAGGTTGCTGTACGAGCAGCGACTGACCCTGTTTTCCCTCCAGGTATTATTGACGTCCACGGAATTATACGTTACAGCCAGCAGAAATCTGTATAGGGGACCAACCCTTCCCTCCCTCCCTCCATGGTAGAGTTTCCGCACGTCCAGCTAAAATTTTCTCAAATCACTCTTCTGCAAATCTTTAAGCATGCTCGACTATGTAATTTATTTTTGTTAAATTTGAATAATCAAAATGCAATAAAAGATGTGCCATGCACAGAAGAACTATTATTTTTATGGAATAAATTATTCTTAGTTGTACCTTTTTGATTTAAAATTGGGAGAGGAGAAGATTCAACTATTTTTGGGGATGTAGACTAGTCTTTCGGTTAAAAAAGAAAAGGGGAGTCGAGACGAGCTATTACAGGAAAGATAGGGTGGCAGTCGAAGCGAACCTGGGTCCTAGGCTCGTGGGCTCGCCGTGCTAGCCTGTTCTAAGCCTTGAAGGAGTAAGGTGTTTTATGTCTTATTTAATTTATTTTATAGATTTGTAAACTTCTAAAGCAAGGACACGTGGGTCAGCTCATCCTGGCCCTACGCGAGCATGCTGAGCCCTACTCGAGCCAAATTGAGCTTGGGTGGTTCAATCTATTGTTATCCTTGGGAGTTGATTGCCACTCCTTGGAGAGACGAGTTATGAGAGGAGAAACTACAATGAGAGTGTCAGCATATTGCATATAGCTAAGTTAGCCGATGCCTGGACATATTGCCACTCTTGACTGATGAGAGAGTATAACGAGAGTGCTATTTCAAGTTTCGAGTTGATCAATGTTTGTTCTTGTTTTGATGCTATTACCGAAGTTTGCAACGAAATTTCAACTTGGTCACACTAAATGTAAAATCTTCAAATTTAGTGGCTAAGTTACGAGCGAGTTTTAGTTTAATCCGAATACAATGGGCAATTATTAATTGAAATCCGATTCAATATACTGGTGGTACCACAATACGATTAACGTTAATATTAAATATTAAACATTGGTTGGGTGTGCTCCAAATCTCATTTTCCACTAACACATTTTATGACAAGGTCATGCAGCTCTCAAAAATATTCGGGATATAAATATATCATTTTAAAATATTCCTCTGTACATTAACATTTATAAACTTTTAATTTTTTGGAAATTTCATGCATGCTTATGGATGCATTAATATGCATGAATATATCATGAAAAAAATTAATCACATAAAATGTAATACTCAATTATCATGGTCACATAATAATAATAATAATAATAATAATAATAATTTATGTGACACATTTATATATTTAACAATTAGAGGCGGCTTTGAGAGAGCGCGAATTGAGCAACCGCACGGAATCTCGTCATTGTAGGGGCACCAAATTTGTTTTGTTTTGTGTGCATGTGTGTGTTTTAATTATATATTTAAAATATTTATTAATTTTAAAATTTAAAATTTTAATTATTATATTAAGTTAAATGGCACAATGTTTATAAAAAAAAGAATTAAAAGATAGACAAATAATGAGTTTTATTTGACATTATTCCTTTTCTTATTCCTAATTAAATATCATACCAAGACATTTTTATTAAAACAAGGGAAATGATTCAGATGGTTTAAGCTCCTTCATAGCTAATTTTAGTGAGTTGTACTTTAACTATTTTCAATTTTGGACTATTTCTTTATTAATTGTAAGCATTTGACTTGGTATGATATGCAATTGCATAAGATGTTAAAGCTAAAAATAATGTAATTGACTAGTTATAATTTTCTTGAATTATATTCTACTTTAAATAATGTGAGGTAAAAAGAAAAAATATAATTCGTAGGAAGAAACTAAGGATGTCAATTTGCCTCATCGGCTCGAGCCGCCCGTGGCCCGGCCAAACCTGAGGTTCGGTAGAATTGAGCCCCAGTTTGGGGCAGCACATTGTTATATATAAAAAAATAAAAAAATCGACCGGCCCGTTGAGGCCCAAGCAAAAGTTCGGCTCGGGCAAAAAAAGCCCTAACCCTTTTTGCTCGAGCCGAGCCCGACTTCAAATTCTACTCGTGGCTATGCTCGTTGCCACCCCTAAAAGAAACATTTTGATGTAAATGCTTTTGTAGAGGACTCACAATCATTTGAAAATTCTTTCATAATCAATTATTTCATTTTATATAGTAGATCAAGCAATTAGATCACTTGAACGAATGCTTGATCAATTCAATTCATATGAAAAAAAATTGGATTTCTTTTTTCTTCTGACAAATTAAACGTGTTGGATTATACTAATTTGAAAGTATGTTGTGATTATCTTGATATTGTTCTAAGACATGTAGTTTTTGCAATCTTGATGGCAAGTATTTCTTTCAAGAGTTAAAAATTTTGCACAATCTTTTACCAAATAAACAAATACAGCTTTTGATATATTATCTTATTTGAAAAGATTGGATCGCTTTTCAAATGTATTTAATGCTTATAGGGTATTACTGACATTTAATGTTACTGTTGTACCTGCCGAAAGAAGTTTTTCAAAATTGAAGTTTTTAAAATCTTATTTACAATCAATCATGTTACAAGAACGATTGAATGACTTATCTTTAATATCTATTGAACAAGATTTGTTAGAACATATTGATTACAAAAGTTTAATTAGTGAGTTTTCTTCTAGAAATGTGAGAAGAAATATTTTTTTACATAATTTGTTATATTTCAAAGTTTACATTTGGTATTTGATATTTCTGATTTTAAGGTTTGCTAATATGAAGTTGCACGAAGAGTTTAGCGGTATGGATAGTTCTTTGTTGATGACATATAAATCTTGATGAAGTTTATGAGGTGCTTTTGAACTTTACTATTACTTTTCTTATTCACAACATTTTAAAAAATAAACAATATTTAAATATCATAATTTTTCGATGATATAATATTATTGAAATATATATTTTTAATTTCATGAAAGGGGCACCATTTTAAAACGTTGCACATGGCATCCAAAATTTCAGGACCGACCTTGTTAATAATGTAATTCTTGCATGAAGATAAGGAGAAATTTACTTAACTGGAATTCTAGCAATTTATTATTTTTGAATGGCAAATAGAGATCGTCCTAGGTGCCCACGAATTCAACGTGTCAAGAGTCCTAAGTCATGACCAAATTTAAACTTCACATGCTTATTATTTTTTGTTGACGTGATCCACTTTGATGCATACCAAGCCATTACGTTTATAGGTTATTCTATTACACCTCTTTGAAAGAAAAGAACTTAAATCAAAATACTTAATAGCATGTCGATATTTATACAAAACTTCTATCCCGAGCACACACATTGGAATCGAGGCAGCAATGGGAATTTTTTGCAATGAGTGAAAGCATGACGGAACAATGTCGCGTGGCTTTATATTATTATGTTCCATCCATATTCCAATTCCATTCATTTAATACTAATTGAGTCATTGCGACTACGAGAGTAGGAAGTTTAAATGTCCAGGCGGTACTGATAGCATCTTGTACGAGAATAAGTTTGTTCATGTTGTAAATAGAAATGGAATTAAGGGAAATTATTTAGAAATGACAATTTGAATTGCATTAATAAATATAAGACTTATATTACCAACAAATAAAATGACACCAACGTATAATCGTGCATGTACAGCTAACAGCTGAGGGATCAAGAAATAAAAATTTACCCACAACTCTGATTTTAGCAAAAATGCCCAAGTTTTTATCATATCTATACGTACAGACGATAGAATCCAAATTCATAAATATAAAATCTTTAATCATTTAAGGAAATAAATTAGCAAATATCCCACACCAATATGACAAAAGATACAATTAAACAATTATGTAAATAAAATATTAAATTAATATAAGTTTGCTTTGTGTAGTGATTGGCAGTGGCTTCAAATTCAGTATGGGCTAATGGGTTTATGACAAAAAAAAAAAGAAAAGAGTGAAGTCATGGAAATGTGGACACTCCTACATTTACCTATCTACACTGATCACGTGTGTGCATATATATATATATATATTCAACTCATTTTGTCCTAGATTCATAAATTTAACCACCAAATGAAAGCTAAATAATATAATAATTCTATACCTTATCAACAATATATTATTAATTTTAGGCTAACCATTTAGACTTTTAACAAGGTAAAGATACCCATCTGGAATAGGCCGCACATACATAGTAGGCCTGAGGCGAGACCTATTACGGTAACAAGAACTAGAGTTACATCTCCTTTTTATTTCTATTAACAATTTGGGCTGCCTCACTATTACTTGATTTGTTGGGCCGTCTATATAATTGGGCCTCTTAAGTGGAACAGTTCTGGCCTCTTTTATGGTTGAAGATCAGCCATACACGTGGTTTTACTCCGATCCTTGGATGGTGACTATTCAGTTGTTGGATATTTGACTTGGTTTGGTACCTTGATTCGAGATACTTCCATTCTTGGGTCTCTTCATTTTTCCCCTTTCTCTTTGAGTGAAAGTTTGAGATTTTCTCTTCTGTAAATCCGTAATAGATCTGTGCGATTCTTCAATCTTTTTTCTTTGTGAATATCTGTATATTGTGTACAATTTTAGGGGTTGATTGTTGTGAGATTACGAGTTGTATTTGAGGCTATATTGAACTTGAAGAAATCGTGGGTTTCTTCATACATGGGTACTGATTCTTGCTTTCTTCTAGTGGACCTAGAGCTATATCCCATTGTGGATGCTCAACGAATTAGTAGGTCATTGAGACTGAACATTTGGACCCTTCGGGATGAAAAATATTGCGTTCTGTTTGTTTTTGGTTTTCTGCAATTTATTTGGTGTTTGAGGACTTTAGATCCTTGTAATATTGTGTTTCGGGACCTTACAAGTGGTATTAGAGCCATGTCTTTGGGAATAGGTGTAGCCAGGGTTAGTCTTTGGCATCTCTTGTGCAGATCTGAGGCTGTGGGTTGAGAGTTTTTCATATCCCTGTGAGGCAAAATTTGGTTTTCTTCAAAACTCGTATGAACTCGCCATAAACCCTGTTCAATCATCTATTTCTACTGAGTCTTGGTGAGTCTTGAAATCTGACTCGTGCTGAGTCTGGTGAGTTGGGGTAACTCATAC